AGCTTTGGCCCGTCTAACTGCCTCCCTACAAGCACGAGCAGAGGAGGTATACTCCTCTTTGGTGATCTCTCCCTGTTTCCACTTTTTATGTGCCCCCCTTTTGGCCCGTAGGCTGCCCTGGATTTGTCTGGTCAGCCAAGGAAGCCTCCTGGCCCCTTTCCCTCTTTTTCCTCGCATCGGGATCATCTTCCTCTGTGCCCGAAGGATCATTTCCTTAAGGCACAGCCACCCTTCCTGGGCTCCCATCTCTTCAAAACTCCTACTCTGCAGTGCGTCCTTGACTAATCGCCTGTGTTCATTGAAATCAGCTTTCCTAAAGTCTAGCACTTTCACCCTACTAGTTACCTTACCCACTAGATCTCTTTTGAAGATTTCTGTTATTTGGTGATCACTGTCTCCCAGATGACCACCGATCTGTAGGTCCCCTACCATATCATCCCCCGTTGCCAATACCAGGTCCAGTAAGGCATTCCCCCTAGTGGGACCATGTACCTCCTGCATCAGGTGGAGGTCCTGTACACAGGATAGGAAGCTGCGTGAACAGTGGGACTTTGCTGTCTGCATCTCCCAGCAGATGTCTAGGTAGTTTAGGTGCTTCTTATAGCCTGAAGCATTAAAAGTAGCCTCCCTTTTATTCTCTAAGCAAAGGGAGGTATGAGGCTAATCTCGACCTCTTAAGCATACACAGTGAGGCATGCTATATCACTTAGCTTTATAGATCAAAGAGGGAGATCATGGGGAAAGAATACAAAACAAAAGGAATATAGAAAGGAAACTGCCTTGAGCAAATCAGCATAGGCTCATTTGGCCCTTTTGATATGCATCTAGAACACTTAATCCTAAATTACTGGCTAAGTTTCAGGTAGGTTACTTGCACATTCAACCAGAGACTGACTGAGTTTGCTCTGGAGGCCTCAGCTTGCTTCTGTGTTTTCAAAGATGTCTGACCCTTCCCAGATGGAGGGACCCTTTAAATAACCTTCTTGACCTCATCACCTGGTCCCAACCAAAATTGGGTATTTTCTGAGCACCACTGATGCTGACCAGCCAGTTCCAAAAACATCAGCATTCACCTTGAGGAGTGACCGGTGCCTTAAGACCACACCCCCCAGGTCAGTGGTAGGAAGTTTAGAACAAAGGAACCTGGACACAGGAAATTATGCAGCCCAGTTCCCTAGGTGACCAGGTGGTTGCCTAAGCAACCAAGTTGACAAACACTTGGCAGAGAGAGAGAGGGAAACCCGATACAAGACGAGGGGAGTGAGAGGTTTGTCTTTTCACGTGGGACCTGAACTTGGATGCAAGACTTCAGGGGAGGCCTCCTGAGTAGAGCAGAAGAACCACTTCCCTTGATTTGCAAATAACCCTTCTGTTGATGCACCCCAGGATGCTATTGACTTTTTTCACCAAAAAAAAAAGTTCACTGTTGGCTCATTCAGCTCACAATGCCCTGTAGCCCCCAGGTCCTTCTCTGCAGTTCTGTGTCATTAGGTGTTATCAATGTTGTCATTGCTGTTGCTCTTGTTGGGTGCTACTGATGTGTTGTTAGTGTTGACATCTCTTGAGCTGCAGTGTTGAAAAGTCACAGCCAGGAGATTTCAACACTAATCTTGTCTTAAAGTATGACCACCAGCTCAGTTTGGTGGCAAAGATTCAGCCAGGTTTACTGCCTATAAGCACAGCCCTAGCACCTTTTGGCCTAACAAGTACATCAGACTTGGAGCTAAGCCATTTGTACCTGTGACAAGTTCACTGGCACAACACCATTCAGGCTCTCCCAGGCCACTACAAAAGTTTCCCTGCTTTCCAGCTCTCCTTTTATACAATGATCAAAACAAATTTCATCTACCGGCATCTTGAATGTCTTGACATGTCCTGTACTAGGGGCTTGCTTCTTATCCTGACCTGGGTGTTTCCATTCCAGCCTCATCATCCTGGTACTGGACTATCCTACTTTGTACCATCATCTTCCCCTCCCATTTCTTGGTGCAAGTGCACATCTGGCCTCAGATGTTTATGTGAGGAGTTCATGCCTCGGTCAGGTTTGCTGGTCATATATATGGTCAGGTTTTTATGAGCGGTATATATTGATCAATGCTCCAGCAAGGCCTGCATCCTGTAACCTAGGCATTCATTCCCCAATCTGTACGTGTGCATGCAATTATCCTGTCCCAAGTACAGGACTTTACTGTTGTCCTTGTTGTATTTGAGGCATCCTGGTTTAGGAGCATTTGAGGGTGAAGAACCAATTGTGCCAGACAAGAGGGCAATGGCTCCTAGGACATGTGAGGATGGTGGGTTGGAGAGGAAGGGGTGTCAGTGTCCAGGCCCTTATTTGTTGCTCACACAAGTAGCCTAAAGCCCCACCTCTCTCTAAATCAGGGGTTCTCAAACTTTGCAACACTCTGACCCCCCCACCCCGGCAGCTGATCAATGAGCAGGGCAGTCCACCACACGCCCGTGCAATGCACAGCAGTGAAAGCAGAAGTGCTGAGGATGCACAGCACGTGGGTTTGCAACCCCCTTTTTAAGTTGCTCGTGACCCTCAAGGGGGTCAAGACCGCCAGTTTGAGAACCCCTGCTCTAAAGTGATGCCCTCTCCCATCAATGGGGAAAGCCTTTAGGCTTTGAGAGGGGCAGTGAGGCTGGGGCCAAAAAGCCCCCTCCTGTCCCCTCCATCCAGCTGTCCACATGATGCCATCCATCCCCTGTTAGTCCCAGGCCAGAGTCACTTGCAGACCAAACTCAGGGTGCAGGGATGGTTTATGGCGCAGTTGGTGGATCTCCCTGAAATTGCATCTGATGCGAGTTAAAAGGAGCTGGGCCATGAGGAAACACCAGGGTTAATTTTTCCAGTATTGAAATAAAGCCCATGGCAGGGGATAGGAGAGTTCCCAGAGGGGGCCTTGTCTGTAGGGGTGTTTCCAGATGCCCTATAAATGCCCCATCATTTTCCTCTTGCTAGGAGGACATCTCACAAGCCAGAGGGTTATTGCTACCGAGACATGCTTACGGCTGGGTTCCCTCTTGCTCTGCTGTGCCGGATCGGGATGAGTCCGCCCCCACCCTTCTTCCATCAGGTTTGGGGGATGAGGTTTTGCTGGCAGATGGGATTTTTCAGTTGGTTCCCGTGATGTCAGGAAAACAGTGGGTCGCTGGTTGGGGAAGCTTGTCGTTCCTCTTAGCAACTTTTCAGCCCTCCTCTGTTTCTAAGCTCTGAAAATACACAGTAGTCGTGGACTTTGCTGCTGTACAGGAGGATGTAGAAGTCATTACAGAGGGCAGGGAGACTTGGGGGGTCCATATCCTGACGAGCAGACCAGACAGTGAGCAAGGGCACCTGAAGAAGAGGGACTTAAGGAGACAAACGGAAGGGAAGAGACAGCTCAGTGTGGATACAATGAGGAGGAAGGGGAAAAGAAATGAGAGAATGAGGCAGGAAGACCTGACATCGGGGTTCAATATGCATTCCTATAATAAACAAGAAACTGTTTCATTAAAACAAACCCAAAGTAGGACTCTGGGTCTGGAGCTCGATTTGGTGCTGGTTCTGTTCTAGGAAGCTGTAAAGAAATTGGATGATGATGAAGTCATTTTTAAGAGTCTAAACCTGAGTTTCAAACAGGGCAGGGAATGGGAAGGTATCCTTTTCCCATGGGATGGTTGATGATCAGCCGTTTCTTTCTGAATTTTTCTATGTCACCTAAAGAGCATGGTGCTTTTAGACACTGAAAGTAAGACACAAAAGTGCACTTCTTTTCTAATTCTTCTGTAATGCAGCTAGACATTTTTTGCCTGACCTGCTTGATCAGACCATGGCACCTGCTTATTTTCAAATCTGTAGCTCTCCCTTTTCCAAACTACCAAATATAAATGTGTCCTCAGAAATTCAGACTCAGAGAAATATGCCAGAACGCATACAAAAAAGGATTATCTAGTCCTAACTTCCACTACACAATGTACAGTGAAAATTTAAGTCAGGATTTTATTTGGCCCAAATTTAAAGTAATAAAAGGTGTAGAATAGTCAGAGAACAGGGATGATTTTGCTGTCAGAGGCCAGGTTTCTCTGACCTTGTGTTTCATCTCCTAATGCTGCTGCTTGATCCTGCCCTCCAAGGTCTAGAAGAGCCCAAACTTCCCTTATAGACCTCAATAGTCTGATCGGTCTGTCTGCCTTTACTCCTAGCCAGCAAAGTGTTTTCCTGAAGTCGCATCTGCAATAAATGATGGCAGCATTTAACAGCAGTCATGTCAGCCCTTCTTCATTCAGCTTGCTGGGTATCCCAGGCTTGGAAGCTGCATATTACTGGATCTCCATCCCTCTGTCCTCAATGTACATCGTGACTGTGCTGGGGAACTGCACCATCCTCATTACTATCAAGATGGAGCAAAGCCTCCACAAGCCCATGTACCTTTTCCTTTGCATGCTGGCTGTCATTGACCTGGTGCTGTCCACCTCCACAGCGCCCAAAATGCTGTGCATATTCTGGTTCAGAGCTGGCAGGATTACCTTCAACGCCTGCCTGGTCCAGATGTTCTTCATCCATGTCTTCTCTATCATGGAGTCAACCGTGCTGTTAGGCATGGCCTTCGATCGCTACGTAGCCATTTGCAACCCCTTGAGGTATGAATCCATCCTAACCAACACTGTAATGGCCAAGATTGGGGTGGCGGTGATCCTCAGAGGCACGGTGTTTATTGCCCCTATAGCTCTGCTGGTTTCCCGGCTGCCCTATTGCCGGACCAACGTCATCATTCACACCTACTGTGAGCACATGGCGGTGGTGAAGTTGGCCTGTGCCGACATCCTCATCAATATTGTGTATGGGTTGGTGGTAGCTCTGCTAGTGGTGGGTGTTGACCTGCTGTTCATCACCCTGTCCTACTGCATGATCGCCCGGGCTGTCTTGGCTCTACCATCCAAGGATGCCCGCTACAAAGCTTTCAGCACCTGTGCTGCCCATGTGGGGGTCATCCTGGTTTCCTACACCCCAGCTCTGTTTTCCATCCTGACACACAGGTTTGGTCACAACGTGGCTCCGCACGTTCACATTCTCTTGGCCAACTTCTACCTCCTGTTCCCTCCCATGTTGAACCCCATCGTGTATGGGGTCAAAACCAGAGAGATTCGGGTAGGGGTGAGCCATATGCTGCAAGGCAAAAAGGGGATCAGCTAATGGGATGATGTCCCAGCCAGTCAGTGATGCTCCTTCTGTTTGTGTCCAAAGGAGCCTCTGGTATTTGTAAGGCAAAGGGTTTTATATGGTTCGGGTGCTGTGTTCAGAGTTGTGGTGGTCTGAACGTCCTTTAATAACCGGTTCAGGAGAAGTTGGGTAGGGCTACTGGAACCAGCTCTCCTGACTGTGGGCCTATCCTGCCTCTGGGTGGGCAGAAATATACTGAGACTTCAGTAGGACTTATTTTGCCACCTCTTGGGATGGAAACTTTGGATGTCAATATGCCCCTCATGCTAGGATTGCCCTAGGGTAACTCCACTACTGGATACGGCTTGTCTGCATGCACGGGACTGTTGGGACACCTCTTCTAGCCTCAGTTTTCTCCATGAAGTGCTAGTTGTCGGCGCCAAATGACTCTGCCCCCATAGCACTCGGTAACCTCTAGATTTCGGGTCTTCAGCTTCTCGTCTCAGCAGGGAGGAAGATTAACTGATGGTTTCTCAGGTCTAAAACATCCAACTGGAGGGCTGGGATTTGGGACGGGTGATATTTTGTACCGTTTCATCCTAGGGATTGTAACTGGAGATAAAGGAATTAAAGTGAGCTGATGAAATAGACTCATGAAAAGACCCAGTCCTGATCCATTTGGGAGAATGAGAAAACTCCCGCTGACTTTAAAAGGGATGAGGAGGTGGATGGGATTGTGACTTCCTGACAATGAGGTTTGTTAGGCTCCAAAATAGCTTCCAAAGGAAACGGATGGAAGATGCATCGAAAAGGCCATATTTGAGCCCAACTCCATGGTGCCGGGTTAGATATCACATTCCTCGCACAGGGATGGATTTGCTAGCACATGTACTGTCCCCCTGGGCATGTCTGTTGTCCACTCACTCTCTGCAGAAGTGTGCACTAGTTATTCACATAGTGAATAAAAACAGTCTGGCCTTCTCAATAGCCCACCCATTTCCTATGTGCTTCTCTATGCAATATAACTGCAGCCTTTTGCACTTGTTTTTCCTCCAAAAAGAGCAGTTACCATACCACCCAAATAAACTCAAACCCTTACATTTCAAAAGGAGTAACAAGTCCAAAGCATGTTGCGATGGTGATGGGATAAAACTGTGCTAAGTGGGGGGAATACATGCTGCAGGGTTATCCATGTGCAGCTTTCCTCCTTATGCTTCCTTAAAAACTTGTTCCCTTGTGTTATCCCTTAATAATAATATTCACCTAGTCTGCCCCCAAAAAGTGGGGTGGGGACTACGGATTTGTCCAGGTATGAACTCCTGTCCCTTCTCCATGGTTTCGGCAGGCAGCTGGGGATTGGGAAACTGCTAAAACATAAACTATGCCCTCCCTAGCACTCTGAATAGGAGAACACCGTCAGTGGAAGATGGGATCACCTAAAACACGTGCAGAAGTCTGGCAGCGTGGTGACAAAATCTGAAGACGACGCAAATTATTAAAATAGGTCTTGGCCAGTGGGGACCAACCCTTTTGGCAGGCATAGTACAAACTAGGCCTTGCACCTTCCCAAATGTCACTCTCATCCCCTTCTCCAGTCCAATCAGCTGCTCTGTTTTCTACTCCCTCCCCTGTTCCCTCTCCCCAATCTTCTGCTCTGCCTTCTGCTCCCTGTCCTGTCTGCCTCTGCTCCTCCGGTCTGCTGCGTGGCACAGGCAGAGCCTTGCCTATGCCACTTGTGGCATGTACACCACTGGTTAGCCACCCCTGGTCTGGCCTGAATAAGGTTAAGAAATTTCCACACTGACTTAATGCATCTGAATGCATCAGTGGCACAATAGCAGATGGACTTTAGCGAATGCAGAAAGCAGTGACGTGCATTTAATTCAGATTATTCTTTCCTCCACATTCATTCGATTGCAGTGTTAGAGACATTCAGGAAAGTTACTGGCGAGGCAGCATGTAAAGAGCTGGATGCAAACCTCTGGTCCGTTTACAGATGTGGTCAAAGGAGTCGTGTGAAAGGCTAGGGCGTGGAGGGAAACATTGAAATCGCCTGATGCTGTTGGAAGAGCAGGAGTATGTCTCTCTCTCCTCGGTTCCAGCAGTCCTGTTTCAAAAAGGATGCAAAAGAAATCCCGGGAGGCAGGGGCAAGGGAATGAAAATGCATCAAGCTTTAGGGGCAGCTCCATGGGCAGAGAGACCAAAAAGGCTGCAGCAGTTTGTTCCAAGAAAGCCCAAGTAAGAGAAGACAGTGTTGCTTTCCTTCCCCCCTTTCTTGTACCCTGGTTCAACTACAGAAGCTCCTGGGATAGGGACTTTCTTCATGTATGTCTGCACGGTGCCTATTGCCATGGGGCAGTGCCTTTGCTTTGTCTCTGTGTAATGATGGAGCATACATAGCATGGTCTGAGTATAAAACATAGCGAACAGCAGAAAGATGCAAAATCAGGCTCTGCTCCTTCCCCTTTCTTAGCACATTCATTGACACGAACAGACAGTTGCATCAAAGCTGGATAAACAGAAATCGGCCGTTGCACAACACACAACCAACCTGCAGAGTCCGCGGCCTGTGGCTATTACTGCCGAAACCAAGTGCTCCAGGGACTCAAAAGGGGATTAGAAACTTCTGCGCAGAATAAGGGCCTCTGCTGCTCTGTGATCTAGGATCTCTGACAGGGAGAAGCAAAATGAACCTTTGCATATCGGGACCAAGGCAGCCTCTCAGTAGCACGCCCTCAGCTCCCCCTGCTCCAGGGCTCACCACTGTACCCCTTGCCACTGCCCAGCTGATCCAAGGCAGGATGCCTCTGCCCTGGAGACAGGAGTGGGCCAGGATTGCAAAAAGGTGAAAAATTTTCAATTGCAAAACTTGCTATTCCTTCCCCCCGACCCCAATAATCTGGATTGTCTCTCCCATGCAGGGAGAATCTGGAGCACCCATTGTTCTGCTCCCACAACCTGGGGGAGGATGGGGGGGTGCCTCTGTGTGTGCATGTGCTTGCGTGTGTCTGTGTGTGTGCACCTGCCCCTGACTGCACATGTGGTGCCAGGATCCCCAATCCCACTACTCCTGGCCCAGGGGTGGGGGCCCCAGAGCAGAGCCTTGCACCCAGCTGCCCAGGGGGAATAGGGGGTGTCCTGCAATTCAGCTGCACTTTCACGGTCTCCAGGTTTTCTGTGGAAGCCTGTCTCCACAGTATGAGTGCAGGTATTACCGTGAGTGACCTGCATCGGCAAGGTTGGAGGCTGGGCTATGCTGCTTATCAGTGTAGTGTCTGTCCCCGTGGTAAGCAAAGGTCCTCTTTTATTTATTAATTTTTTCCCTTAGTGCAGGCAAAGCTTGGGGTTGGCATTGCTTTTCTCTGCACCAAAACCTGCAAGCCAATGGGTATTGATCGCACTGAACAATGCAGGTGGATAGCAAGTGCTCCTAGGCCTGAGAACAACACTTTGCATTTATATATATGCTCAGGTACTATGCCGACGGATGCTATATAAAAATGAAGAGTGTGATTATTTTTTTGGTTGTAGCGACTAGGAAGGACCCATCGTAAACCAGACCCCAACTGAGCTGGATGCTGATGAACAAGGAGTCCCCTTGCCAAAAGACTTTATATAGACAGGGGGAAATGAGAAGATATCTGTAGCTATCGCAGCTTTTGACAGATGGATGGGCAGGAGTATGTCTTGCAGACATGCTACCAAAGTGTTTGTGTCTGGATTTTCCCTTCATACTCGCCCTACACAAAGGGGGAGGGAGCTGGGGTCAAGTGAGGTATAAAATCTTTGCTGACTGGTCCCAGGATCTGAAACACTGAGGCCAAGTGCACAGGACATGTCATATAACACGCGACTCTGGGGAAATCATGTAAATACTTTGTGCCTGCTTTTCCCCCTCTGTAAAATGGGGGCAATGACCCCTGCCAGCCTCCTAGGAGAGTGATGCAAAGCTGAGAAATGCAAATAAGGACAGTCAGGAAAAGAAAGACGCTACTAGAATGACTACGTATTTCATTTAATATGTCCACGTTTATTCAAATGTAATGTTATGCCGATCTCATCTGTAAATACGTTGTATATATCTTGACAAAAATAATCAACTGTATGCTGATATTTTCCAATTAAGATGCCCAAGGTCAGACTATCAAATACAGGTATTGACACTGCAATAGAAGTGACTTCATATTCAAATGGCCCATGACTTTACTGTGAGTGGAAGGATTTTTACACCTTCATCTCCTCCTACTTCTGCCAGCTTCTCTCTCAAACAGGGGCTGCCAGGGTTGACAATTTCTCAGGGAAATAGGGCAGAGGAGATGACTGACAAGCCTCAAAGACCTTTTTTTCCATAGAGATCACACTGATGAAAAGAAATCTTTAAGGCCAAAATGATTTATAGACCTTATCATTGCACTCAGGACACTGATAGTTTGCATGAAAAAGGTAGTCCAGAAGAACCATACAGCTTTAGGGAGGTGTGTTTTTTTTTTTAAATCTCTGTCTGTCTGTGCCTATCAATTGAGAGCTGCATGGTTATTTTTCAGCTCTGAAAGCAAGTCCCACAGAGGATATTAGTGCAGCTGAGCAGCCTGGTAATTACAGAGCTGCCTGGGGACGTATTATGAATGTTGCTGACTTTTTACCAAAGAGCAGCGCACAGGCAGACGGACATGTAGACACACATAACCATGCCCAGGTTATTGCTTTTTAGGGGGGCAATTCACTGCTGGGGTAATATCTCCCTGCTGTTGCACGGATTTTGCAGTGGGTTTGCCCAGTCTTACCCAGTGTGTTTTCTCGAGGGTTTGGCACGCACTGCTATGTTTTCTCACTCCCCCGAGAAGGCTTTTTAGATGAAAAATGCTTTCTGGGTCAAAGCTTGGTGCAGCGGCTTGCAGATGGGATGCATGCACCACTCACTACTAAAGGGATGCAGCACGAATATCTGTCTGTTTATTTTGACAAAGTGTCCTATTTTTCCAACATCTCCCTCCCCATGATGTCAGTTATATTTGGGTCGCTACTGTTGGGACATTGTGCTAGCTATATCAGCATTGCAGTGGCACTAAGAGACGTTAGTTGAAGGTGGAGGTCCCATCGTGGATCACCCAGGCCCTTGCTGCTGCCCTTCTCTCCCTGCCTCTCTATGGCTCCCACAGAGCACACTCTGGCTTCTCTTCTTGTTGCCTCTATGGTGCCGATTGCGGCCCCGTCAGCCTCTAGAAGCCCCTGCCTGTGCTAGCTTCAGCTCGGTCCCCCCAAACCTGGTGTATTCACAAGGCATCACAACCATCCTCATTCACTGCCTTCTGCACTGCCAGTAATTGAAAAGGCTTAGCTCTCGGAGCAGGTTGCAGAGGGAAGAGTGCACCATCCTGCTCCATTTTCCACAGTTGGAAAATGAGGCATGGAGGGTGAAATGGCTGATCCATGGTCACCCAGCAGACTTAAGCAGGGCCAAAAGCTGGACCAGCAATGCTTGCTTTATTTCAGAGAAGTACAGGGGCATGTCTTGAGCTCCATGGTCCTTCCACTTTCCTGACCTATAGGGTGGACCAAGAGATGTTGACCCAGTCAAGGGCATGAACTGGGACAAGACTGGCATGCAACTCCCCCGACCTGGTGTGTGCAGGGGTTGCTTTCAAGGGAATTCCCTCAACAGCCCCCGAAGCACGGGTTTTGGCAGGGCTGTGCGGGGGAGAAGGTCCCACGCAGTCATGCCCGCAGGTGACTTTTACTGATACATATTTAAGACTGAACTTTCACGGACAGTTTTAAACTATGCAATCATTTAGATGTAATTTAAAAAAAAAAAAATGGTTGCAAATCAAATATGCATCTCATCTCTCTGGAGTCTCTCAGCGGACTCTCTGCCATCCCGAAACACGAGCACGTTGATCTGTTTTGCACGCTAAGGCAACAAGACAGCGGCTGCGACAGGAAATATGCTTGGAAAAGCAACACAAAGTATTTGGGCCACGTCTTTTGGGAGGCACAGAGAATCCAAAAGTGTGTGTCAAGCGCAGAAAGGAGACGCCGGTGGCAAAGAATGAAAATCAAAGATGGGGGCAGCTATCTGCTTGCTGCTCTGTGTTGTGACTATATATTAGCAAAGCCCTTCTCCTCCTCAACCCCTGCTTGGAGGGTGAATGCTGTGGTGAAGTTGGTGGAAGGAGGCTCACAGAGGAAAGCAATGACCACGTTCAGTGGAGGAGAGCTCTCCGCGGCCTTCAGCAAGTCTCCGGCCCTAGTCTAATGTGATAGTCTTGCTCAATGAAGGCCAATCCTTTTGGCAGGTATGCTACAAATTAGCCCCATATCCTCCCCGAGTGGCACTTTGAGCAGGGAGCCCAGGGAAAGGGAGAGAAAGCAGAGCAGCCGATTGGACAGGGGAAGGGGATCAATCTGCTGCTCTGCTTTCTGCTCTATTTCCTGTCTGCCACGACCTCCATCCGCCACGTGCCACACACGCTGGCTTGCCCATGCCACAAGTTGGCCATCCCTATTTTACCTCTCACCTCGTCCTAAGAAACAGGCCATGGCCACACAACGGACCTGAAACAAGGGCTGTGTCCCTATTGTTGCAGGTAGGTGCTATCCTGGGTCATCTCTACATGGCATCATTTCTATGACAACATGCTCTTGTCACCTTCCAGAGATCAAGGTGTCGGGCTGGCAGGGCCCTCAGGCAGGCACCTAGTCCAACCCTCAGGCTCCTCCTGTCTCATCTATCCCATCCACCATAAAAATCATAGAGAAGGTGAGCTGGAAGGGAGCTGCAGAGGTCACATCTAGCCCAACCTCCTGCCTGAGGCAGGATCAGCCCTGTGCAAACCATCCAAACAAACCATACTCTAAATTCTTTGTAAGACTACCATCGACCCTGGCACAACACAAGACATCGGGCCCAAACCTGCCACAGGAAAAGCGGGGAGGAGGACCACAGCAGCCAACGTCCTGCTGCTATAAAAGATTGTTAATACACATTCAAGAGATTCCAGGCAGACTACAGAGGAAGGCAAAATCCCACCAGTCCACACCAATCTGACCAGGAGGGAAATTTCTTTCTGATCCCACATGTGGCATCGGTCTAGCTTTGAGCGGA